CTGTCCTCCCCGGACTCAGACCAGTGGACGATGAGAGCTGGGAAGAATCGGGCGTCCCTGTAGGTCGGCGGACTGTCGCTGAGCGCCAGCTGGCTGGAGTCGGACCTGCAGCACTGCTCGTCTAGGCAGCAGGGGTCCGACAAGCTGCTGCTGCGGCTCCTCCACGGAGCCACGGTGCGACGGGAGCCGTACATGCGGCACAGCGACACGTGGGACGTGTCGGAGGAGAGGCGGGACAGCAGCAGCGCCCCGTGGCAGGAGAACCCAGAGGAGCAGCTGGAGCTGGCCACCGTCCTCCTCCTGCCTCCTGTACCGTCGTCCCGGTTCAGGGGCGCTCCGGGGTCCAACAGGAAGCGGGTGGAGGAGGCGGAGGTCGCGGTGTTGGCGCTGATGAGCATGGCCTCCGAGTAGCTGGGGATGAGCTGGCGGTTGCAGCGAATGTGCCACTCCATCTCCGTGCTGTCCAGGGTGTCCACTCTGGGAATGCCGCAGCTAACTTCGTTTAGCGGGGACGGACTGCTGCAGATGTACTCCAACCCAAACAGCTTCTCCACCCTGTAATGGACGTACGCCGTTCGGTACTCGATGAAGACTCTTAGGGGCCAGGAGAGCATGAGCAGCGCCGCCAACCAGAAGGCCACCCGAGACGTGTACCACGGCATCCGGTCAGGGTCAACGCAGGTAATCATGTTGTCCCGGAAGTCCACGTTCCTCAGCTGCATCCCCTCCCGAGCTTCCATGAAGTCGTCCAGACCTTCTGTTTCGGAGAAGAACCGGGACCTCTGGTTGAGGTAGTCGTTCTCTGGGCCGGCCTCCGTGAAGCTGAAGCACTTGGTGAAGCGCAGGCGGGTTGTGGGGTGACCCTCCAGGCCCGTAAGTTCCCGCGACACGTCTTTCATCCCACAGTGGGTGTAGTCGAACTCCCCTTCCGCCACGTGGGTGTTGACCCGCTCGTGGTACACCTGCGTGGTGGTGTAGGCATCCCCATTGCGGTACCTTGTCACCTGCCGCGTCCGTCTGACGAAGTGGTAGCTGATGGCCTTCCACCATATGGACGGCTGTGCCTGCCGCATGCGTAGCACGCGCTCGTACACGCTGTCTACATCCGCTTTGGACTGCAGCTGGTTCCGGGCCATGCAGTGCCAGCACTCCACCATATACAACCCGTAGAGCAGCAACAGGAAGGCCAGCGGGATGTAGACGTACCCGTCCGAGCACGGGCTGTCGTGGTAGATCATGGAGTGTCCGCCGCCCCGCAGGGTGGAGGGGAAGTTGGAGGTGAAGCTGATCTTGGTGACCCTTGTCAGCTGACACCAAGCCAGCGCGGCCAGGCAGCTGATCATGAGGACGGAGAGCAGCAGGCAGCGCCAGTGGGACTCCCGGCAGACGCAGGCACCCAGGGACTGCTGGACCGGACGCTGCTGCAGAGGCAAGAAAAAGACAAACGGGAGCCATGATTAGGAAAAAGCACTTAAAGCGATGAAGCCTGTAAACATGCCAGGGAATCCGTGGCATGCAGCAGAAATGCAAACGACTCCAGCTAGCAGTAAATCACAGCGCAGCTCAACATAAATCAGACCGAAGAAAGTTCAACAGAGTTTAATCAGAGGAGAACATTACTGAGGTTCTCACACACAAAACCCAAAGATTATTTACAGTTTTACTGCACTGAGGCCTCAAGAACCGATAGGGACGAATCTGAAAAGGTTTAAGCAGATAGATGTTAAATCTGGTCAAATAAATGCTGCAAGAAGCAGCTCAAAGATGGAAACTCAACCAAGTTATGCTTTGTAAAGTCAGTGGCTCTTTGTTGTGAAAATAAACCCAAACTTAGCCAGAGGAGACACATTTTTCATTGCATTTTAGGTCTGAACTTTGACTAGACCATTCAAACTATTTTAATGTGTTAATTTCATTTAGTTCATTATATCGATGCAAGTTATCGATTAATGAGTTAATATAAAGTTGATTGATCTTATCGATTAATTAATAAGTGGCCATTTTCTTAAAAACCTGCATTTTCTTTTCTATCAAAATGGCCGACCACTTTTCCATCACATCAAGAGGTAAATCTCTCATAATATACTGAATTTAAAGAAAAACATGTCATCAGTGGTATTAAATATTGACTGGATAAACAGAACATTGTGGTTGTACTGTTGGAATATGAACCTCATTTTTAAAAAAGTAACTGAATTATTTACTTAATTGCATCTCTTGATGTATTTCTAATATTGTATAAAAACGATTTAAGTAGTTAAATGAAAAACATGGAGAATGGCAATTTTTTAATCAATTAATTGTCAATAATTTATTACTGTAGTAATTATTGTTTGCAGCTCTACATAAAACATACATGATGAAGGTTGAGCGCTGTTGGTGTGTTTAAACTGGATGCTCTCTCCGTTTCACATCTTTCTGCTTTATCTGCTTTTTAATTCAACCAGCAGAAACACAAAGCGCCACATTTGCAATAATGTTGAGCAAAGAGACTTTCCCATTCAGCAGAGACTTTGGCAGCAGGCTGTTTAATCAGTAACAGTGAAGCTGAAGATGCAGCAGCCAAACTAAAGTTAGCAGAGTTTACTCTGCGTGCCTCCAGTGGAGACGTTCGTCCACATGACTGCCTCTGGTGAGACACAGTGAGAGGATTTATGGTGACAAGCAGCCATCCACTGCTGCGCTGGGATGTCACCCGCTGCAGCTCCCGCGTCAGTCATTGCAGGAACCACTGAATTTCATCCAGAACTTGTTTCCTTCACACAGAGGGATGGGCTTTTTTATGTTTTTGGTGTAAAAGTTGAAGAAGATCAAATATGTTAGAGTGAAAATGTTTATTTTTTCTAGAATGTGAAACATAAAACAAACCTTCAAAATAAAACTCCTAAAATACACAAGAAAGTGATGTGTCATTACTCAAAGTGTCAAAAATGTAAATCATCGATATGTGATGGAGTGCAGAGCCGGCCTAAGTCATAAGTGCACTAAACCTGCTGCTTAAGGCCTCAAGACCATGAAAGTTTATATTTGTTTACTGAGAAAAAGAATAAAAATAAATTTAATTTAGAGATTTCAGCAGAGATACATTAAATTATTTCAAGTTTAAGATAAATTGAATTTACAAGTTTACTTAGCAAAAGTGCAAACAATAATCCTAATAGTTTGATTGTTTTTTTACCACACTAACAGTCTGTAGCTATAAATTTAAAACCTTAAAATTCCTACACTTTTTACACAAATTGCATTATTTTGTATTTTCAAAAGTCAATTAATGTCTTTAAAAGTGCATTTAATAATTTTTATTTAACAAATTCTGGCAGGAAATGTCACAAAAAAGACAATAAAGCTTTCTAAGTATTTATATACTTCCTTCTCCATATTTAGTTGAAAAATCTTTTGAAATCATTTGATAATTTCTTCTAATTGCTAAGCAACTTATTTTTTTTTTAAATATATATATTTCCTCTGGTATTTATCTTTAGAGATGAGCTTCCGGGTCTCTTTACCATCACCCTAATCTTCAACTCCTTCCACAGATTGTAAATCAGATTAAAGTCAATATTCTGTCCAGTTAAAGTAATATAGTGCACTTATAATATTGCTTTAATTCGGATAAGGGATGGATGGTTTTGAATTAACTTTACAAAATTTAAACTTTGTTAATTTTTAACTATGTTTAAAACACAGAGAGGAAAGAAGAAGAACTTTAAGATGAGGAGGAAATCTGGACATCCAAATAGTTATTCTAGACTTTTCAGGAGAGCAGGAATCATCTGCCTACCACTTCTGGAAGATCGCTGTCTGCAGGTGAGCCTTCCTCCTCCTCTTCTTCCTCAGCAGCACTGGGAACACTGGGCGCTTCTTCCGCGGAGTCCTGGTCAGAGGAGAGCATGCTGCAGCGCTTTGCATGTCCTCTCATGCATCCTGTTTTACCTTCTTCCCTCCGTTTGCATCCTCCTTCCGGGTCCCGGTGCGTCCCGCCTCAGATTCTGGTCCAGCAGACTGCTGCTGCTGCTGCTGATGCTGCGGTGCGGTGCGGGAGTCCCTCGGTGCTCCTGGCTGGCGGGGCGGAGGGGGGCGGGGTTCAGCCGGGAGTTGACCGCAGCAGAGACAGCAGAGGTTCACCATGGTGATGCAGGGCGCGGTCCGATAAAAAGACGCATAAATTAGCACAATAAAACCCAGAACTGGTGTTAGAAATATTGCTGCTCTGAGGGGGGAAAAAGCAAAACAAACTTCCGGTTGAGAAAATGTAATACTGCTGCTACTTCACAATAAAAGCTCACTTTTTTTACTGGTCATCTTCATCCACCGTATTACGATTTTAAAAAGTGTGAACACCTTCACAGTTTATTAAAATGTTAGCTCACTTTATGTGAAGAAATTCAGTGTGTTTGAAATTTTATAAAAGTAGGGCTCTATCTTTTATTGATGACACTGAACTTCAACAATGGCTTTAATAACTTTTACTGATAAACATAATAACCAGGAATAATTACATAGATATAAAAACAAGCGCAGGTTGTAGTAGTAATAAAAAATGTCCATCATCTTTTTGCAAATGTATGTTTATCGTTATTTTAAAATAATCAAAAAGAATAACGTAAATGACATGACTGTTCTTTAAAAGAATAACATCACTTTTGCCAGTAAAAATTTTAAGTTTTTTATTTTTCATGTAACATTTGTGGCTCTAAATGTTTGGATTGTAAAGATTGTCCAATACTTTCAGCTGTGAGGTTGATGGTACACCTTATATAGCAAGAAAAATTGTTTTAAATTTTTAAAATGTGTGAAATTGCTTATAACCACTGTCCCAAATTACCCAAAGACTCTTTTCCTAACTCTAATAATGCTATAGAATAAAAACAAAAGTAAGCAAGAAGGTGGTAGCAATACTTAATCTAGAATTAAATGAATTTTGACTACTTTCAATATAATTAAAATTCATATAATAAAAAATAGTCATTTAATGTACCTGTCATAATGTAATTAATGTTTTGACGTTTCTCCACCTGACCGCTGGGGGCGCTGTGGTTTAAATTCATCCCTTCCTTCAGCCGGTCTCCTCCAGAAAACATGGCGGAGGTTAGGTACTGTGTGGGAAGGGGAGCGTTTGAATTTGGACTTAAAATGTCTAAATCCCAACTTCTGCAGAACCGAATCCGACTCGGAACAAAGGCGGTACACCCTGGTTCTCTGTCGGCTGGGTTTCCGTTTGATGACAATGAAAACTGTGAGCGGAACCGAGCTGGAAGAGGAGCGGAGCGGGCAGCTGCTGCTGGCTGTCGGGACAGTTGTACTAAGGTGAGCCCGCTGCCGGGTGGAGAAACCGGTCCGGAGAAGCGAGACACGCCTAAAAAACGCTGTTTTCTGGAACATAAGAATGATTTATGTTCAAATGAGACTCTGATGGAATTCACTAAGCGGAATGTTCCTCTGTATCGGAGATGTGAGAAGTTGTGGAGGACTTTGTTCCTCTTTCCTCCAAGCCGGACTCTGCATCTGGATCCTGGATCTCCTCCGTTTGTTTTCATCAGGAGCTACAGCGGAAATGGGTCTAGATCTGAGCCGCTGTACAAAACAAAAACCGGCTACTACGATGTCCTAGAAGTCCCAACCACGGCCACCAAAGCCCAGATCAAAACCGCCTACTACAAGCAGTCCTTCGCCTTCCATCCGGACCGGAACCCGGGCAGCGCGGAGGCAACCGACCGCTTCTCGGAGATCAGCGAGGCCTACACGGTACTGGGCGACAAGGTCCTCCGGAAGAAGTACGATCTGGGGCTCCTGAGCCCGTCGGACCTCAGCGGCAGAGGCAAACCCTCCACCGGGGTCTTCACGGGGCGCTCAGCCGAGCAGCAGCCCGGGAGCAGGCGGTCAGTGTCGGGCGCAGAGTTGAGAGACAGGCTGTACGACTTCGATGAGTTCTACAAGGCCCACTACGGAGAGCAGCTGAAGAGGCAGAGAGACGTCCGGCTCCGGAGGGAGGAGAGGCTGAAGAGGGAGGACAACTCCGGAGACACGGAATTTGCCAACATGATGGAGTTCGGAGTTGGGCTGATGGTGCTGTTGGCCGTGGGGATTATAATTAGCATAGGGAAGTGAGGAAAGTTTGGTGGATGGATAAGCTCTTATAGGCTGCTGCTTGTTTTGTGCTTTAAAGCTGCTATATGTAACTTTTAAATAATTATTTAACCATATTTGTTAAAACTCTCACTATGTTGTGACAGTGCAATATGAGACAGATAATCTGTGAAAAGATAAGGCTCTATCAGGAAAAATTGGCACCACAGTAGAGAGAAAGGGGGGAGGGAATGAGCAGCACCACATGGAGGATGATTGGCAGCGCTAAGACCCCCCTTCTTCCTTTGATTAGGAAAAAACAACCAAGTTCCTCTGCTTTCTAGAAACAACCACAGATTATCTGCTTCATTCCATTCTGTATGACAGGCAGTTTCAACAAATGTGTAAAAAAAAAACAAACAAAACATGAACATTACAAACTGCAAACAAAATGACAGTCAGAGATCGACACACCCAGAGCTGGATGATTCAACACTTAGTCTTATACAACCCATGCTTTGATCATTTTGGTTTGATTAGAGTTCATAATATTTCATAATTTACACATTTTTTCACTGGCTAGTTTGGAATGTCTGATATACAATTTATATATATCACCATAAAATGCAGTCAACTCATGTATATTTGATTTATTTTCTCCTATTTCTGTTTAATTTGGTCTATTTGTACTATATAAAATGTGACAGAATGTGAAGCCTGATCAAACCAAAAAAATTTTAGGTACATAACCGGGTTTCCTTGCATTAACTTGATAAATGATTAAAACTCATCAGAGTAAAAGTGGGTACAGAAAGAAATGTGGAGGAAGGATTCAGAACTATTTTGTACCCAATTTTGTCTTTCACAAACACAAAACAACAAAGATATTAGTTGATTTTAAGACAATGGTAATGTAAGAACATATTAATTTATCTCCACATTTCTTTAGTGCATAAAATGTTTATCATTGTAAGATGATCCGTTATTATTTTGCACATTGGTGGAAAAAATGTTGGATTCAGGAACATCAAGTTTTTCACCTAATGGATATTTAAATCTAACTCTGGGAAGTTTGGTGGTTGGGATTCCTGATTTCTCTTTCTGCTCAAGAAATTTCACAGCCACTGGATATTTTATTTCAACTGTTTTTGACTTTTATAAAGTCATGTATCCTTCAGGCTTGTACATTTTATTAAGTATTTATAAAATGGATAAAGCATTGTAAGCACTTTTAAACAGCTCCACTGATCTGAGATCAGGTTGTCATTCTAAGGGAAGTGCCTTTTATTTTTACTGTGAATGTTGAACGTTATATTGTTCCAGAGATTAAAAATTACCCACAAACAGCTCTTTGACGGTGCCTCTCCTTAAAGCAGCCGGGCGACGTCCGTTTATGACGGTGTAAAAGTATTTGTGCCTATAAGAGTTTTGCAAATACAAAACAGTTGTATTTGCAAAACAGTTACAAATCCTTAAATTTCTAAGTACAAGAACACAAATGTATTTTTGTCCATCTTGCATTAGTTCGTATCTTTAGTCTGAAGCTGATTTTTTAGCTTGTTGACTAAATATTTAGGTTCCAACCTAAATAGTTTAAAACTCTGTTTACTGAAATAGTGAAAATGTCTTAAAAATTAATTCCTACTTTTTAAATCTTATTGCAGGCTAAGTAACCCAAATTATTGCTGTTCATTTTTGACTTTATAATCATCTTTTAAATAAAAAATGTTTTAACATGCAGCAAACACCAACCGCTGGTGCAGTTATAAGTTCACAGTCAAACAGGCTAAATCAGTGCATATTTGTAGGGATGACATGAAAACTACAGCAAATCTACACAAATACAGTTAACGTAAAGTGCTTGTACATCAGCTAAAACATGTAAAATCAAGCTTATTCTTCTGTTCTACAGTAGTTCTGTTAAAAGATCCAGTTTCTGGTTGGAGGCCCGTCCTCAGAGGGCCGGGTTCAGGGCGTCGTAGAGCCGCTGCACGGCCAGCTCCACCATCTCTCTGAGGGAGTCGTCCTCCGAGACGTCGTCCTCGCAGTAAACCGACTGCAGAGGGAAAGCAGACTCTAGCTAAACCTGCAGCAAAAGCACCATTCTGTTTCCAACGACCAGCCGTCTCACCCGCGTCTCCAAGCTGATGTGGACCGTCTGTCCGTCCACCGTCACAGAAATGACTTTCCCATCGCTGAAGTCCACACAGTCCTCTCCAAACATGTCCCTAAAGTCAGAGACGGGACAATGCACACTTCAAGACAAACAGCTTTTCCTAAAAATGTCTTCTATTTAAAAGTTAACGTGTCACTCACTGCAGCATGACCTCTAACCGGGTCTGGAAGACATCCATGTCCATGGTGGTGGTCTGCGTCTCCATGACTGGTCATGAAACCAAACGGATCCATGATGGCAGCGCATCAGTTATTTAATGCTTCCACCATTCATAACCAGCAATGCAACAACAATTCTTTATGTGTTTATGCCTGTTTTGTACTGTGTTGACATACATTTTAGCTGAAGCTTCCACTAAATACAGCATCAAGACAGATCTTTAGTTAGCTACCACTAAATACTGTGTTAGCATAGCGCGTTCAGGTCTGAAGAGACTCATGCCCTCTGCTGGCAGGGAGGGAAGATGAAAAAAGAATAAAATAATTGATTGTAATAATTTCTTCTAAATCACAAATTTTTATTATATTTTTAAAGTAAAATCTAATCTGTTTTCAATCATTAACACAGATAAGTAGGAGCCACCACCAGAACAGTGACTCACCTTTCTGAGCCTTTGGGTTGGACTGCACCTCCAGCACCACAGTGGTGACGGCATCAGCAAACATGTCGTTCAGCGGATTGGCTACCCACTGAAAGAGAAAATAAGATACCAGCCATGACTAAAGAGCTTAGTTTATCTGATCTGATCTGACGCTCTCACCTCCAGCACCACCATGCCGACCTCGTGGACCAGAGTGATGCTTTTAAAGATCTTCAGCGTTTTCTTCTCGGTGCCGTCCAGCTCCTCCACGTCCCCTGAGACAGACGGCGAAGACGGATGAAGCTAAAGCGTCTCGCTCAGACTCAGCGGAGCGCCGGCCGAACGCTGGAGGCTGACCTGTCAGGTTCCTCAGGTGGCAGACGAGCAGCGAGTACGGCCCGGTGAACGGGATGGCCTGGTTCTGCTTCACCGTGCTCATGGCCAGCTCTGTGTACGCTGTGGACACGTCGCCATGGAAACAACTCTTCATTTCTGAAATCTCACAATGTCCTCCATGGACTTCCTGCCAGTCTTTAGCTGGACGGGTTCAGTTCTGCTTCAGCTGTCATTTATTTTTAACACATTTAAGGAGTTGACCAGGTCAGCCATGACTCCGCCACCACCGTGCTTCACAGCTGGGATCAGGAACAGTTTCCTGGAATGCCCTACTTGGTTTATGTCAAACCTCTGAATAATTTAGTTTTAGGCTCATTTTTTCAAAAAGAATATTGTTCCTCCACAACTCTGTAACAAAGTATTAGGGTCAGGCTTTTATCGCAATTTGAATTATGATTAAAAAAAAAAGTTATATTACAAAAATAAAGTAATCATAATTCAAAAATAAAGTTGTAAAAATATGAGAATAAAGTAAAGAAACAGTCACAGACTTGCCTAGTTGATAACTCTTGATAACTTTTCAAAGTTTTCTCTCATTAAAATTTTTTTTCTCATAATTTTACGATACTATGTCTTTAATCTTTTTGTATCATAACATTATTATTGGATTTTAAAAAAAAGTTCTTCTCCTGGATGTAATTGTGATAAAAAGCACAAGGACTTTTCTCAGAGTGCTGTATGCAGGCATATTACTGGAAAGTTGAGTGGAAGGAAAAACTGATTTTAAAATGGATACAACAACATATAAGTGTGAGTAACTTACTCGAGAGGTCGGACGGGTTCAGGATGTGGTAATTGAAGTTCTTCTTGACGAGTATGCCGGACACCCTCTGACCCTGAGCACATTTCTTATCAGCCAGGGAACCCATCACCTGTGAGGACAACTTTCAGTTTGACAGGCTCAGCAAAAACGTCAGTAAGCAGCAGCTCAAAGCAAACCCAGAACCTTGGCCAGCTTCTCTCCCCTGAAGTTGAGAGTGACGGCCTCCGTGTTGCGAGGGTTGTGCACCTCGATGTGGACCTGGTCGTTGTCCTCGTACTCCCGGATCAGCGCTGCCTTCAGGCGGGCCATCTCGTTCTGCTCCCCGTGAACCAGAATCTGAGAGCAAACACACACGGAGTCAGAGAAGGACGAGCGAAGCCGGTTTCTACCTGCCAACCCACCACATGAGGCGGCTTGAGGGCCCGGATGAACTCGCTGGTCTGCTGGTAGTCGGTGTGGGCGGAGAAGGAGATGTAGTCCACCGACATCTTGAGCGGCAGCTTCTGACTGGACATGGTGGTGATCTCCTCCGGCTCAGACATGATGTGCTGCAGAGGAAACACGCAAACAGGTCTGTTAAATGTTAATAAACTGATTTTATGCCATAGAATTATAGAATAGATTCTACACATAGATCCCACTGGAGGTGATAAGCCGCCATCCTGGCGTAGCGCCAAGCATAGCGAACCCATGGCATCAAGATCAGTAAAAAGAAAATATGTGGACATTCTTGACTAATGTGTGAGAGCATCATATATGAACAAAATGGCTGCTGTCGGGGTCAACCCATTTGAATGGAAACATGTCAGACGATGTGGATCTCCTGCTGTGACATAGCTCACCACTTAGTGAACACAAAGACTGTGTACAGCTAAAAGCTACATTAGCTAAGCTAACTTTGCTAGTTTGGCAGTAAGTACTACAGTAAATATCACTGCTATTTATCTTAGTATTACACAGAAAATCTTAATCCAGTCATAGTTGGAATGTACTTGTATTGTTTTTAGGTTAGATAGGAACGAGGTGAGAGCTTCTTTTCAGTTTGTGGCTTGTTTATTGTTGTTACAGCAACTACATAGCAACTGCCTATCAAGATGGCTGTCAGGCACAAAGCTCCAGGAACTTCTTCCTTCACACTTCTGGGAACTTTGTAGCTGGCAGCCATCTTGGTAGGTATCTGTACCAACTGCGCCACTGTGCAGCCTCTGTAGGAACTATGAATAAAAAAAACATAAACATAAACTTTATTTTATTTTATTCAGATTTTTGAGACAAACGATTACAAAGTAGAGCATAATTGTTAAGAGGAAGAAAAAAATAATTAATGATAATCTGAAAAGTGCGGCGTGCATTTACATTTCACTCCCTTCCCTCTCTCATGGTCGTAAATAAAATTCTGCAACTGTTTTCTAAGAGGTGATAAATTAAGCTAGCTTCCTACCTTAGCTAGAGTTCCCTCCACACAGTACCCAGCGATGATGACGCCGTTCCTCTTATCGGTGCACCAGCTCTCGAACAGCTCCCTGGAGAGGCCGCTCTGCATCATACCCGGCGACGCCATCACCACGCTGGGGCCGATGTCGTCAAAGTGGTCCATGCTCTGGGACAGGACAGAAACTGGGTCATAACCAGCACTGAAGTAGCAAAGCTTTCTCTGCAGAGTGTCTGCAGGTTCCACCAACTCAATGTAAGACTTTTTAAAAACATTATGGTTGGAATTTATGGTTTCTGTATCACGACAGAAATGTACCAACTTCATCAAACCAACTGGCGATAAAGCAGCACCCATGACAGGCACAAAAAAGCTAGCTAGCTATCAAGGATATGTTAGCGGCTAACTAGTGGTAGCCTCAACTGTCTCAATACATTGAATACATGCAGACATTTTAAGACTGTCGAAGGATCGCCTACCTTCAAATTGCTGATGTGTTTGAACACAAAGGGGTTGTTGATGTTGATTGCTTTGCGGATTTTGTCGTTCATTGCATTGACGTAGGTCTGGTAGACAGCCATGCACTTCTTGGCCAGAGATGAGGCGTAATAGATGGGAATGTCGTGGAGTTCTGGGTGATTCTGCCAGTATTCATCTGGGAAACAAAGCAAACACACATGCAAACGTAATCAATAGTTCAGGACAATGTTTACTCAGATTGTTTCAGAGCAGAATTCAGTTATTACATCAGATATTTTGTTCATGCAAGTTCAATCTAGAATTTGAGCTATTCTGTCTTATGATAAGTAGTTGGTTTAACCTGATAATGTGAGCAAAAATAATACAGACGTGTGTATTTGGTTTAAGGTACAGTACTAATTTTAAACAACTCACGATGCAAGATTAATAAACTATCAGACCTTAAAAAACAAAGTTTAGACAACATTAATGTTGCTAAATCAACTTAATGAACTTCAATTTCTGATTTAAAACTAAAACAATTTTCTAGTTGGTGAACCTTCATTTTCTTCAAATGTTTTACAGTGTAACTGATTGGCTCTGCAGAGTGAAGCAAAGAGGGCCGAGACAACAGCCAGGGGGGATTCCTAACCCAGGATGAGCAGCAGCTCCTGGGCCCGTCCCAAGGCGAACACAGGAATCAAGCAGCGGCCCTCCCGGTTGACGATGTCGTGCACCGTGTTGCAGAAGCGAGCCTCGCGCTCCTCCCTCTTCTCATGGATGTGAGTCCCGTAGGTCGACTCCTGCAGTCAGAGACAAAACCGCTCTGCTTCTGCTTTTAAGACGCTTCAATGTTTCAGATCATCAAACAGTTTCAATATCAAAGAAAACCAGAGTAAATCCAAAAGAATAAAAATAAAAAAATATCCAAACTAACCTGGCGCTCTGTGGAAAAGTAAAACTAAGAACTTATTGTTAACGTGGATTACAGATTTTAAAGGGTTTCCAGGTTAACTTTGACCCTCTCTGCTTTGCAAAATTGGTCCTGTAACTGCATCTAAATCAAATTGAAGTCCACACTTTGACTAGGCCACTCCAAACACTCCCTTTTGTTCTTTCTAGCACTGTCAATCACCCTTGTGTATGCTGTAGGCTGCCATGAATGCTCAGGCTAGTTGGCATGGCCACCGATGATGGTGGACAAACGTTTTTTCTGGAACGGTAATCTGTTTTCTGGCATTAGAACATTTAGCAGCATGTACACGAGCATGATTGAAAACACCAAGACCCGCCTCCTGGCTCTGATTGGTTGTTTTTGACCTAGAGGTGCATTTTTGCACATTGCTATATTAGCCATTGAAGCTATCTGTCACAATTTAGTGACTGTTTTAATAAATATGTAAAAAACATAAATTTGTAAAATACTGCACCTTTAATACATGAAATCTGAAGCTTGTTGTTTGTATTTACTCTGATCTGAAATCTGAAAAATGTGTGACAAAAAAGCAAAAACAGACCAAATCTGTACAAATGACTGTGATTTGTTACAACCTTGGAGTATTATTATGATGTAACAGGGATTGATGTCATACTATGATTAAGATGTCAGGTTTGACGCTCGGGATCTCCGCTGCCATCAGGTGTCTGTCTTCCTGTCTGGAGAAGTCGCCTGTGTACAGCAGCTTCAAAGAGACAAAATGCAACTTGTATATTAAATATTTAATTTTTCACGGCAGCATTTCCACACAGACTGTAGATTATTTACTTTAACTCCAGCTATTTCGATCATGAACATGGCCGCTCCCAGCACATGACCAGCATGGTAGCACCAGAACTTGATCCCAGCCACTTCCTTCACCTCATGGAAGTTGATGGTCTCGATTTTATCCATGCTGTCCTCCAGGTCGGTCTCAGTGTACAGCATGTCATCTGCAGAGATGTTACTGCAAATAAAACAATAAAAAAAACCATGATTTTTAATCTTCAGCCACTTCAAAATAAGAGCATGAACATAACCGTCTAGCTACTCAACAACAAAACTTCAACATAGATGTTAAGCTTTATCCAACAGAAAGTTTACAGAACAGTAAAGTGAATTAGAGCTTTGAAATTTATCTAGGAAAACTAATCTTGAGGAAGCAAACTGTGCTAAATGTTTTCTAAACTAGCAAAAATGCTAAGTGCTAAACGGAAAATTCGCTGTAGCAACTGGGACACATCCAACCCAAAGCACTGGAGTTTCAGAGATGATGGGAAGATGAACAGAAATACATCCAGGACAATCCAGGAACAAAATCTGCTAGCAGCTGCAGAAAATCTGAGACTGGGATGAACTGTTCATATTTTTCTCTATAGAAATAAAAACCTTGCATTTTTTATCCACTGGTTTATGTTAATCCAGTACATAAAATCCAGTGAGGACCTGAATATATCTGATAATCAGGGGCAAGACTTGAAAAATAAATGTTCACAGACGGTCTCCATCCAATCCAGAATGGGTAAAATTTAAATCTGCAGACGTGTAAACGTGGTGAATGCCTTTGCAAAATGTAACATGTTAGCATAGCATGGCCGTTCCCACCTGACTTTGACGTAGTCTGACAGCAGCCAGCGGTAGATGGCCTTGGTGGCGTGCGTCATGAATGTCCGCCCCTTAAAGCTGGTTTTCTGGAGGAACCAGGGCAGAGCCCCGCAGTGATCCAAGTGAAAACTGATGACAGGACATGACTGTCAACTTCAGATTATAACATGTGTAGGGAAATGTCAAGAATTTATTACTGTTAAATAGTTAAATAGTAAAATAGCGAAGGGAAGACTCACTGGCTGATGAGGAGGAGGTCGATCTCCGCGGGGTCGATCAGGTCGATATAGGGAAGAGCATCCATTCCCTCCAAACCCGGATGGATGCCGCAGTCCAGCTGATAAACACAAACAATCCTCTATTTATAATCTAAACACCACGATGTGCTCAGTCCTGTTTGGAGGAAGATTATCTTTGCATCTTCAGATTTAATGCCTTGAAATTGGGGCTTTGTCTCTTTAAGAAGCTCCTGTTCTTTCTGAAACTCCGCCTTCAGGAAGTCGTCACAACATGGCTCCTCTATTAACCCTTTAGCAACATTTTTAACAGCGTTGCTCTGAGAAGTGGCTCGTGTAATGAGCTAATAGCTGCTGGCTAGTCTGAAGGAGCTGAGGGGGGGGGAGCTGCGCCTTGAAGGCGGAGCTATGTCCATCCAGTTGTTTTGTTCTGCTGAATGGTTGCCATGGAGATTAAATGATTTCTCAAAGGCAACACTTGACATATGTTTTTAATGAAGGAATAACATTATATATAATGTATTACATTTATATAAAGCTTTACATCATGTAATTACATGATGAAAAGATCAAAAAAGTGAATTTTACATGATTCTGCCCCTTTGAAGGACGTGTGAATACTTTTACAAGACAACCAAAATAGCTCTTTGAGGTTATGATTATATAAAACCGTCTTAAATGAGTTTCTGCCACCATCAAAGACTCTGAAGATATTAGGATGATCTGGGTTATAAGATTTAATATCCTTCTTTAATAAAATATTTTAAATTTGAACTGAAACATGCAGGACAGTGAGGATCTCTGACCACTAGAGGGCAGCACTGATCGTGAAAACAGAAAAATTTACGTTATGCTTCATAAATAGCATCTCATATTAGGAAGACTCGGGGAAATAACGTGATTTTAATTTAACATTATTTTCTAGACACGTGTTTTCATCAAGCTCCAGATTATAAATGCTTCTGAAAAAAGCATAAAGATCCCATTACAATTAAAACAAATGATTATTTTCTCAATTTGAAATGAATCTTTATATGTCAACTTTTTAAAATTTCCTCAGCATTTCATCTGCTTGTTATTACAAATAAAAGGGAAACCAGCAGCTTCTGATATTTACCATAATTTTCCTCCCTTTGAACTCCAGGATTATACAAGATCTCCCAACCTCCTGCCCAGCGCCACTGCAACATGACGAAAAAACAAATAATATGTAACATCATAATCTAACATTTTCAAACGATTTTATTTAGGAAATGATAAAAAGCTAAATCAGGTTGTAAGAAATAAACAAATTAAATAATTTTAACTCACAGAGGACGGATGAGGAGCTGGTCGCTTTCCTCAGCAGGGATCACCATGTCTGCTTTTCGCTTCGACGCCATAACGCTTCAATTATTAGGCTTACGTACGTTAAATTACACAATAATACAAATTAAATCGGTATACTGGGGTAATAATAAATGAACAGTGCGGCTCAGGGTCCGTCTGGAAACATCACTTTCTTGAAAACAGTTCCGTAAAATGTCAGCATCACGTTTACATGTAAAAATTATGTTATTCTTGTTAGAAATATTTCCTTAGCGTATAAATATCGCATTAATATAAATTGTAGTAGTTTTAATGTTTACTGATTTAATTAAATGTTTATTATTATTATTTTTAGTTTGGTTGCGTCCCCTTTAAGGCGGCTTGGGTGTCGGCTCAAAGAGGAACCGAAGAGTCAAAACTGGAAACTAGTTGAAAGAAGAAAAACATCCAAAACAAACATCTGAAGTTTGGCGGTTCGGACAGGTAAGCCGTGACTGACCCGGTTCCGAGCAGAGGATCCGGTTCGGTTCTGCGGTTCTGTTAAAACTCCATCTGTAAATAAACGTGTTGCTGCGGGAGGAGTTTCATTTAGAAACATGTTGCTGAAATTTAACGGGCTTCAGCAGGAAGCAGCAGCCTAGAGCTGGTTTTAAACCTGCTCTGGTTCTGGTTCTGATCCACCACCGGTCCATTCCGTCTGACGCTAAATCAGATGATACGGACCTGTAGTTTGATCCAGCCACAGACCTCAGTGCAGTAAGTAGTGCAGACTTTGGAAGCAGAAGGAAAGTAATACATAGTTTTCATTTATTTTATCCCGAAAAATCTAAAAAGTGTGGCGTGCTTTTGTACTTAACCTCTTAAAAAGATGCACAACTGGAAACTGAAAGTTCTACCTGTTCTTCAGAGTAAAAAACTTAGAAAATGTCTGTGGAAATCAGTTTTCAAGTCTTAACATTCCCATATCACGACTCTCCCTCCATCGTGTTGCACAGCAGATTCAGGGTGATGCAGTTAGATGTTTTCCTACACAGACAATTTGTATTTAGAAAGTTCAGGTTGGTGTTTGAGGTTTCTCATTTCTTTGTCTTTTACACCTACATATTTTTAAATTTTGCACTACTTTCTACATCAATTTATTTAAAAGCCTTGAGTTCTGTGGCAGAAACTTTTATTACCAGATAACATGTTATAACTTTATTACCTCATAATATGCATGTTCAACAATCCTTAACATTTTATTTCATTCCCACATTTCTTATGGTTTCTACGATTCCTTTGGTCTTTTTCTTGTCAGAAACATTTTCATTTCTTGCTGGCTTGAAGAGTAAAGCAGCTCGATGAATTTAACTGAAATAACATTTAAAAAATTATGTTAACTTATATTTTACTTTTAAAAATGATTGAAAAACAGAAAAAGATTTCTGATGAAAATAGGCCTGTCACGATAAATTTTGCTGGATGAGAAATTGTTCGAGAGCGTATTGCGATAAACGATAATATTGTTTTTAATGGCATAATAATGGAAGAACACTTTCTCAGATCAATAAACTTTAACACTGGAACTGGAAGACATTTTAAATATCCAAAAAAATTAAAAATAAAATTATGTAAGCAAAATTATCCTTCAAGAAAAGGCTAGTTGCACCACACTGAGGATTTTTATCATCCAGTTTTAATTTATCATGCGATTAATTGATTTATTGCGGTAGGAATAGAAGAAAAATGTAAGAATAAAAAAAAGATGATTAATTTTTTTTATTTTTGCACGTTTTCTTCTCATCTAATGCAACCTTTCACAGCGCCCCCTGGTGGCGGCCAAGGTGTAGAACACTGCAGCGCTTCTGCCGTTGATCCGTTTGTTTTGTGTCGATGCAGGTCAGCAGGCCTGAGGCTTCGGATGCGGTCGCCATGGTGAAGAATGTTTCGGAAAGTGAAGAAGCGGCACAGTAGCAGCAGCTCACAGAGCAGTGAGATCAGCACCAAGAGCAAGGCACGAAGAGATGACGCGCTGCTTTACGCCAGAACCAGAACCTCCAAGTGCCATTCTAACCCAGCTCTTTGTCCCTCCACAGTCCGTCGACTCCAGTTTGGGAGGACTGTCCAGGTCCAGCACCGTCGCCAGCCTCGACACCGATTCAAACAAGAGCTCAGGTCAGAGGGAACGCTGTGAGGATGAGCTAAAACTTGGCGCAGGTTTCGTTCTCTGTCTGCTAACTGAAGCCGATTCCCCGCAGGAAACAACGCGTCGGAAGCATGCGCCGAGTTCCGGGTGAAATACGTCGGATCCATCGAGAACCTGCAGTTTGAGATGAGCAAAACACTCCAGGAGCCTCTGGACCTCATCAGTTACATCGATGCTGCGCAGGTAAAAACCCAAGACTTAATGTAATTCAGTGGCTAAAGGTTACAACAGAGGTGTGCAAACGTTTAACCATCAGGGCCAAAATTAGTGGTGCACCAACTGCAATTTTCTGGCTCATTACCGATCTTTAAAAAGCCTGACCGGCCCATTCCAATTTTGGCCAAAACCATTTTTTTGTCTGAAATGTCGCAAGAAAGTCACTGAGTTGGGAACAGTGGGGCGATTATTGTTACCTGTAAACATGCAGACCTGGTGGGCGGAGCTTACAGTCAAACCTCTCACTGCAGAGCAGAAGAGGACAGTGGTTGGTTTTTAAACCTTTGCCGAGGTAGATAAGATCTGCGGATAAGATCAGTTTCACATAAGTATCGGTCAATCACTGATCTCCAAACTCAAGGAAATCGGCACCGATAAATCGGCCGGCCGATAAATCTGTGCACGCCTAGACAAATCATTAAGTTGAAACCACATGTGGCAAAACAAACATGTTATATTTGGTGTAAGAACTAAATATTCTGCATTTCTTCACAGCAAGATGGAAAACTGCCGTTTGTTCCTGGAGATGAGGAGATGGTCCTGGGAGTATCTAAGCACGGGGTCAAAGTGGCGTCAGTAGACCAGTGTGTGAGTAGCTCAGCTACCATTTGGTTTTAAAAACAAAACACAGTTTAGTTTTCTCGCATGCAAAGGTAAAACATATTTATAAAGATTTTTTTTATCTTTTCTACAGCTAAAAAATAAAAACACTGCAGCTCAGTCTGTTCTGCTTGAATATGATTGGATTAACCAATTAATAATCAGATAATAAAAGGTGCATAATGGGAGATTTCCTTCAGAGAATCTGAACCAGGTGAAGCTGAAATGCCACTTGAGGGATTCTGTGTAGATCACATTTGCAGACAGAAGGTTTTCCATCTCAAATGCAAAATGTACATAAATACATGCATATGTGTGTATATTTTGTAATTTTAGATTTTATTACTGCTGTGAGTGTTTCAGGAATTGGCATGTTTTTCAGTCTGTAAACACTTATCGATTAATCAAATACTAAAAGACTTGATGATCAACCAACTGATTCGCTAAATGAGCTGATGATTAATTGAACAATTAATCATAAATACTCTAATTTAGCTGACAATTAACCAGTTAACAAGATTGTTAGCTGACGATTAGTTGATCAATCATTTAATCACGACTAATCAATAAGTAAATTACCCGATGGTTAGATAACTAATCAGTCACGAATCCCTTCATGCACTCGGTGGGTTTGTCGTGTCCTCTGGGCAGGACGTGCTGCATCGACACCCTCTCTACCTGATCGTTCGCATGCTGTGCTACGACGACGGCCTGGGCGCCGGGAAGAACCTGCTGGCTCTGAAGACCACTGACACGAAGCAGCAGCAGTGCAGCATCTGGGTGTACCAGTGCAGCAGCTCGGTAAGTGCTTTTAAATATTAATGCACCTGCTGGGGTTCGTTTTCATCGTCAACTGATCTGTCTGTGTCTGAACAGGAGCAAGCTCAGAACATCTGCAAGGTGCTGTCGGCCTCTTTCGACTGCGCCCTGTCGTCAAACAAACCCTGACGCTGCTCTGCTTTTACGCCCATCAGCCGCCGGCGTAGCATTAGCTTACCCAGGATGCACCTGCTTTGTAGCAGAAGGTATCCAGGGTGCTGCGTCTGGTCACCTTTCAGTGTTTTAAATATTTAACCAACCCGTGGTTGACGGATTTACTGTGAGTGTTTTATTTACCCCCTCATTGAATGTATTTCTGTTTACTTTTGTATTTTCAAACTAAACACCAAAAAGCAGAGCATTTCTAAAAAGTGATTTAATATAAATTGAAATGCTAAATGGTACAAAATGCTCCAGCCCGTTTGCAGTAGATGGGAAACATTAATCGGCACCAAAACAACAGGGTACAAGTTCAAAGGTTGCTCCTCTCTGAGGAAACGATCATCATGTTGTTTTCCTCATGACAGTATTGGTACAGTCAGTTTTTAAAACCTCTGTTTTTAGATTTTTAGTTTAATTGGTAAAAACATTTGGTACCAAATCCTTGTTTTGAATTGATTTATTACAGTGATTATGTCTGCAGATATTCTGTTTTATGTGCATGTTGCGGGACTTCTGTTTACAGTTGTGGACTTCATGTTGTACGATAAGTTTTCTGTTTCACTTTGTTCAAAATGTGAGGAAAAAAAAAATAAATGACTTGATGTGGTGCTTTTTATGTGGGATTTTGAGTGATTTTTAATTTTTAAAACCAACTAAATTCAGTCAAGTTGGATGGAAAGCATCCAGCTTCAGTTAGATTTAGGTCCTTTCTTTGACTAGGCCAACCCTACACAGTAATATACTGCAGGAAGGTGAACCATTACCTCAGCCTTAAGTTATTCACATTGTAAAACCGGTTTTCTTTATTTGTACTGCTCAGATTCTCCATACAAATAAACCAAAAGCAACCCCACAGAATGATGCTGCTACTACCACGTTTTCCTGTGGAGTGGGTGTGTTAGCTGTGTTAAACTTAAAGCACTAATCAAACAACGCTAATGCTAAAGCAGTAGTTCCGCTAGTACGCTATGCCAATATGGTATTTATGCTAACTTGAAAACACTAATCAAACAGTTTGGCTAACAATAAAGTGATACACAAACATGAGTAGCAGAAGCTAATGCTGAAGCGCTAATCCAACATATTAGTGCTGCTAATGCACTACATTTTATATTTGAAAGTTTGTTTGTTCATGTGTTTTTCTGTACATTTAATTCATTTGTTGTATATTTGCCACTCGCTGTTTCTTAAAAAAAATTAAACAACAAGGG